TGGATGTCGGGGATGTCGATGCCTATGCCGAATGCCCCCGTCGCCGCTATCACTCGCACCCCGCCCTGCCGGTATTCCTCGAGCACCTCCTGCCGCCGCGTGTCACTCATGCCGGCGTGGTAGTGCTCGCATACGAACCGGCCGAGCCGCGCGATCGCTTCCGTCCCGGCCCGGCTGCTACACATGATCAGCACTTTGCTGTCCGGCCGGGCGTCGTCGGCGAGCACGGAGTCGACGAGTCTCTCGAGTATGGCCTCGCGCTCGGCCTCGCCCTCGCGTTGGCTACCTCCCTCCTCTTCTCGGCGGCCGACGACGCTATACGAGATGTTCGGCCGCACCGTCGATCCCCGGATGATCCGCACCTCGTCGGCCTTCCAGTACATCCGCTCGAGCACTCGCGCTTCGGCGCTGGGCGGCAGCGTGGCGGTCAGCAACACTATCTGCGTCTGCGTAGCTACGAGCTTCCCGAGCTGCTGTAGTCGCTTCCGGAAGTCGAGCTGGTCGTTCAGCAGCACATGGCACTCGTCGATGACGATACGGTCGAGCTGCCGCGTCGCCTGGATACGCTGCAGATACGTCGGAAACGACCCCTGCGAATCCAGCGCAGCCTCGGGCGTAACCAGCACGATGCTCGCCGCGTCCGGCTGCCGCCGCTCATTCCACACCGCGCACGTGATGCCGAGCGCCTCGCACCGCCGCAGCATGTCCTCCCGCAAGCCCTTCAGCGGCACCACCACTACGCTCGTCCCACCGGGCTCAGCCCATGCCGGCAGCATGAACAGCACGCTCTTGCCGGCCCCCGTGGGCATCACCGCTACGATCGCGCTCTCGCCGGCCTGAATCGCCTGCATCGCTTGGCCCTGCACGCTGCGGAGTGATACCTGGGCCCGCATCATCCGTTGCAGCGTCGCCTCGGCGTTCATCCGCTTCAGCCGGCTCCGTCGCGCGGTCCGCTCCTCGTCGGCCGCCGCCTCAAACACGCGCCGCTTCCGCTTGGTATCCATCTCACCGATCCCACGCTGGACACCCGTCGGCCATACGGGGAACTGCAAAAACCGATGCCAGTCGGTGCTGACCGCCCGGAACCGCTCGCGGATCCCGGCTACTACTCCGGACTGCTCCATACTGCCGCGCGCGTAGATCATGCCCGCCACGTGGGGCGAATGCGCGGCCTGCTCATCCGCCGCGTGCTGGAGCGCATGCTCGCTGTCCCACTCGGCGTTCTCGTCCCCGTCGTCGCGCGGGAACTGCGTCGCTCCTGCGATCCATTCGCGGCTAATAGCGATCGCAACCTCGCGATACGCGTACACGCCCAGCTCGCAGCCCATGCCCGCCGCAGTCGCCTGCTTCATCGCCTTCGTCATACGGTCGGTCGTCCAGAGCCGCCCATTGACGTCCGCCGGCCACAGATACGCCGACGCCTCCCAGCCGGGCCGGAGCATCGCCTCTACACCCTCGACGAACGGCAGTACTAGCCACAAGTACCACACGACCAGCTCGCCCACCTCGCGCGGCAGATAGCGGTGGATGACCTTGACGTCGCCCGTCATCATATACTGCTTGTTGTACCGCGTCGCCAACACGACGAGCCCGTCCTCGATGAACAGATTGCGGTGCTCACCGCCGAGCGTGTTCTTATGCCGGACGCTCAAGATCTCCGGCCCTCGAGCCGGCTGACCGCCAGTCATATGGATCAGCACGAGCAGCTGCGCCCGGAACGCCTCGACCTGCCGCAGCCAGTCGCGGACGCGTTCGCGATGGACGCCGGACGCGCTCCCAGCGCGGACGAAGCGCAAGTGGACTTCGGCCATGCTCTGTACGCGGCGGATGAGCCACGACGGCCCGTCGGCCGGCAGCCGGTTGCGCTTGTCCTGCAAAAAGCTCCATCCGTTGCTGCTATTAGATGGGTCGTCATGCAGCGTCTCCCACGGCACCGCCGGCACGCTCGCCGCGTCGATGCCAAACATCAAGTCCTCGAGCAGCGCTCGCCGCGTCGTCGTATACAGATGGTGCACCATGCCTCGAAAATCTGCCATACTGAACGCGAGATCGCGATATTGTAGCACATCGCGGTCCTTCCACATCACGTGCCCGGCAGCGGTGGTGTTGTAGTGGATCTTCAGTCCGTACGCCCGGAGATCCAGAAACCAGTCCATCGGGCTGTTAGTACGCCGCACCATAAAGCTGTTTACCATCTGCTCTACCCAACCTAAGCTCGTCTTGCTAGAGTGCTTGCGGATTCGACGGCCCTTGCCGGCACGCCCGCTGCTGTAGCGAGCGCTGCTACTGCTCTCCCAACTACTGCTCCTCCTGCTACCGCTCTCCCTACTACTGCTCCTCCTGCTATCGCTCTCCCTGCTACTGCTTTCCTTGCCCCTCGAACGAGCCGGGCTGTCTCTGCTTCTTGGACTGCCCCGGCTGCTCCGGCTCTCGTCGCTGCTGTACCCGCTATCGCTTTCGAAGTAGCACACGCTGCCGCATGGACTGTATTTGCCGCGCTCGGCACGCTTGCTCGCCTCCAGCGGGACCAACTCGCGCGCTTTCTGCACTACCATAAACTGCGCGATCTTGATGATCGCCGACAAGAACGGTGGATACGTCTCGGGGTCGCGCCAGCCCGGCTGCGTCGGGTTCACCCCAAGCACGGCCGCCGCGCAGATCAACGCACAGTCGTACTCCCTCCGGCTGACGGTCTGATTGAGCAGCTCGATACAGAAGTCCAGACACGCGCGCTGGATGGATGTCAGCGGCGCGTTCTCCGGACTAGCTTCCTCTCCTGTCGCGGCTACCTCATCTGCCCCAACTCTCTCGCGGGTCTCGTCGTTGTTCTCATCGTCCGCCTCGTCGTCGGCCGCAACGTCCACGCTATCCGCTAGTCCTCCCCCCTCGACGACGTCCTCCGCCGCCGCCATCAAACGCTCAAACGCTACTGCCTGCCGCCGGTTGAATCGATACTCCGGCCCGCTGGCTCTACCGGCGTCACGCATACGTTGCGTCCGTACGAAGAACACGAGCATCTGTTGCCACACCCGGCAGCGCTTCCTAATCGACGTCCGGTCCTGGTACGGCTGCAGCGGCTGATATCGGACCTGATCCCGCTCCGTCCTTACGGCCTGCATCAAGATCAAAGTGCCGCTTCCAGCGACGGTCGCCTGGCTGGCCGTAGCGACATCGGCCATTACCTGCCACACCGCTGTAGCGAGCTTCTCGGTCAGCGCTGTCTCTGCTACCTGTGTAGCCTCGGCTGCAGCTCCTGCTGCGTATGTTCGGTCGTCCGGGCGCCTTTCGGCCGAGCTGCGTCCTGCGGGATCATCGTCGACGACCGGCTCTTCGACCAGCTGTACGAGCACTTCGCGGTCCTGTCCCGCCAAGTATGGCACCCAGCCGGTCCGGCGTAGCCACGGGTTGGCCTCGTCCACGTTGCCTTCGGCGATCCTCTGCTCGGCGCCCCTCTTTGCCGCGGCGAGTGCCTCGTTTGCCTGCTTCCATGCCTGCATCCATACAGATGCAGCTGCGGCGCTGTCCGTATCCGGGCTAGTCGCGGGCGTCGCGTCGTCCGTCTGCCGGCGCGGACATACCTCGAAGTAGCCCGAGCACTCCTGATGGGCGAAGAAGCGCTGGCAATGCACGGGCCGGCATGCGCTCGCTCCGGCCTGCGCGATCTTCTGCGTCTTCGCCGAGCCGGAGCCACCGCCGCTTTGGCGACCCTGCCTAGACCATTGGTGGCACCGTCGCCAATGCCGCCGTATTGTCCCTATGCTCCGGCAGACGTATCGACACGACTCGGGCTCTAAGCAACATTGTATACCGTCCTGGTAGATGGGTAGTGCTTCAATTGGGGGCCTAACGGTGCTGGGTAGTATAAGCTGGCTTGCAGACAAGGCGAGTCCAGGCCATGTCTGTACCTCTTCTGCAATACGCTGAGCTTCTTTATGCTCTACTCTATGATGGTTGCTCTGTAGATGTCGCATTATATGCGCGGGCCAGACCGCGACACGGCATTCTCGACAGATAGCGAGCTGCCATTCGCTTTCGTGCTCAAAGTACGCGCTCGCCATTTTGGTTGTTAGTAGTATACGTCGTGTACGCGCTTTACGCGCCAAACATCCTTCGTCGCGTCGTCGGCCTATACGCTCCGAGCAGGCGGACGCTCCGTGCAGGCGGACGCTCCGTGCAGGCGGCAGCTCCCGTGCGCTGCGGGCGTCTGCTATCCGTCGCACGGCTGAAGAACGTCAAGATGAAGTCAGCCGATTTGGCGAGCTCTACGACGTCAGCAGTAGCCTTTAGTATACTAATATCCATATAAAAGATGCTCAGAAAAATGCGCTCTGTAAACTGTTCGAGTTTGGGGCAATTTGCAGGTGTTTTGGATGAGTGGACCCACCGTTAGTGGATCGTACGTCGTACCCTAATTCTGTACCCTAAAATTTTGCAGCGTAATGAGTGGACTGTAGGTTGGGTCCACTGGACCATCTTAGATAGGACGAATGGACCTTATGTCTGTTCGTGTTGAACTCATGTTACCAACTTACCCATTGGAATACAAAGCCCCTTCTCATTTCCCTGTTGCACTACTCATTCTCAAGAAGCTACCTCGAGTAAACCGCCTTTGGCAGTTGACCCGTAACACCCGAACCAAATGTAGCTAGTAAATATATGTGATCGACTCCATCACAGCTGGAATTTGTGGATAGCGCGTTCAACCCTAAAACATCTAAACCCTAAAACATAGACGCGCTTCGCGCGTAACCCTAACTTTCCCCCAAACCAAAATATCCGTACCGAAAATAAACGATAGGATAGGCGATTTGGCGACCTCTACGACATCGGTAGTAGTATTTAGTATATTGAATGTTATACAAAAGATGCTTAGAAAAATATGCTCTTCAAACTGTATGAATCTTAGCCTATAGCGGGTACTTGAGTCTGAATCTAGTCAGGGCTGTCTGGATTCAAAAAAATTTGTATAGTAGAACCCTAACCCTAACCGAAATTTAGCGTATTCTAAATTCAGACAGCCCTGACTAGATTAGACAATTTTGGATAGGGTAAGGTTCAGGTTAAGATAACATACAAGCGATCCTAAAGGAGAGGTCTTGTCGTTATAGCCGCCGCCGAAGATCCCTTCGCTACATTCAAAACGACTCTAATTATATATACATTCATAACCTTTTATACATATATAGTATTTTTCCTTCTCTACGTATACAGCTTTACCTTGCTGTATATGCTCTTTCTTGTCCTACTAGTACTCCTATGCTATCTCTAGTACGTCCGCTTCTACGGCTGTCTTTGTTCGTTTAGACACTACTACTCCTGCCGGGTTTGTAATCTCGTTGAGAGGGCGTTTGCGCGGCGGTAGCGACGCTAGAAGAAAGCCGAGAAAGCGATGCCACTCTTAGCTAACCTTGCGGTATTCTGCCTTCCGCTCTTCGACCTGCCCTACTGCCTCCGCAATTCCACGGGCATAGATAGAGCCTGCCGTCCATAAAGCGTAGCCCGACTGCTAGTCAAACTTAGTATCCTCGAGGCCGTAATCACGCTTGAATCCGCCGCACGGTAGGTGCTTGCGGGAGATAGCGACTACAAGGTGACGGTAGACTGTAATACTAACCTTTAGGCCGAGCTCGGCCTGGAACTCGCGAGTTAAGACACGGGTCAGCCGGGCGCTGTCCCAGCACTCCTGTACTTCACTATATACTGCTTGGCCGTTGTTCTCCGGCGCGCTTTTGCGCGTGCTCTTCGGAATCGGTACTTTGGCCCAGAGAAACGGCGAAGGATCGGCCTTGTCTCTATTCGCGACGAGGTTTAGAGTCTAGCGGAATAGAAGTATTAGCTAGAGGTAGTATACGAGGAGCTCGCCGACCTCCTTTAGCAAGTAGCGGTAGATAATCTTTGTAGAGCTAGTGATGCTGTAGCCTTTATAATACTGGGTTACCGTGCTTACGAGTCTACGGTCGATAAAGATGTTCCGATAATACCTATAGACGGTATTCTTGTGTCGCAAGCTCAGGAGCTCCGTACCGCGAGCAGGCTGGCCGGAGCTAAGGTGGATGAGTAGGAGAAGATGCTCGAGGAATGTATCGACACGTGCTTAGTACGCCTGCACGGTCTTCTGCTGCTACAAGGCCTTGCTAGTCTGTCCTGGATTCAAGAACTCCTCTCGTAGCTAGTTATTCTCTAGCACCCGTTCGAACAGCTAACGCTCTCGATTAGGTAGCGGACCTCGCATGTTCTCCGGATGCTAGACAAAACTCTATCCACGGCGACTCTCAACGGCGTTATCGACAAGGTGGTGTATCCGCAACGGCACGTCGAGATGTTCGCGCGTCTCGTCGGGATGCATAAGTAGCAGCTCCTCTAGCAAGCTCTGCGCCTTCGTGATCTGCCCCCGGATGAAGCCGCGGAAGGCTTCTATGTCGAGATCGCGGACGTCCTTGTACGAGACGGACTGTAGGTCGTCGCTCCAGCTAATGTAGCCCAGGCAGGTCGACGAATCGCGGATCCTCTTCCCGTACATTCGCAACCGGCTCGCCTAGTTGAAGGGCGAGCGGGTACCGTAGATCATAAAGCGCTCCCGCATGTCGTCAAGCAGGTCGGCCGGCTGCGCAGCGTCGCTAGCGTCGGCCGCGCGGATCGCCTTCTCGATTACAAGTATCTAAGCAATCTTAATAAAGCCCGAGAGGCTGGGGGTGTAGTTCTGGGCCTCTTTGAGATTGCCCTTGCCGAGGTCGATACTAAGAACGGCGAGAAAGCCTACGACCGCGCTCTCAAACAGGTCGCCCTTCAGGTCGTAATCTAGCAGCGCTATGCAGAGGTCGAGGCAGCTGTCGTCTACGGCGGCACGCGCGCTCTAGCGAGCCGACTTATGCTCGGCAGGCAGCTGCAACAGACGGTCGATCTGTAGGAAGACCTCGCCGAGAAGGGCGGCCTGTCGGCTCTGTAGCTAGTAACGCAGCCGGATCGTCTGGCAGGGATCCGCCGCGCGGGCTACAAAGCAGAGGAGGCCTTTCCAGACGGCCTAGTACTTGCGGAAGGTCGCCTTCTGCAGCTTGATTATGAGCGGCCGGTCCGAGGCCCGCGGCCGCTAGAGGAAGCTGTTGATGCGTGCTTGGTCGAATACGTTGATCCGGTCCTAGCAGATCGACGTGTAGGCGGCGTCGACGAGCCGATCCAGACTCTAGCCTAGCGCAAACAACCCGGGCTCCGTAGCTAGGGAGGGCATCGTAGTAAGCGCGGCTAGCTGTTCAAAGGAATGCCCGGCGAGGTACTCTAGCTAGCGGGTGAGCTGGAGCCACGGCGACACTTCCTTTCGGCTCGCATTTGCGTGAACCGTCTGGCCTGCGCTCTGCCGCTCCTCGATAAGCATTGCTAGCTCGAGCCTCGCACGCGCCGTATCGGAGCCGGAGGCGGCGGGCGCCGGCCTAGCGTCCGCCGCATCGCTAGCCGAGGCGACGTTAGGCAGTCGAACTTCGAAATAGCTCGAGTACCGCCCCGTTCCAAACAGACGCTAGCAACAGACCGACCGCACAGCCTCTGCGAGCCGCTTC